AACGTCTCATACGCTCAGAGAGTATCCCCTGAGTGAATTCATGACAGAATATTTAAAGTGAGTAAATCATATCAGAGGCATTTTCTGAAAAGCAATTAATTACATTTAAGAATGGAATAAGATCATTTCTAAACTTATGAAGAAAGGAACGTGACAAGTTATATATTGATATTTATTGTATATAAATAATACAAAAGCCATCTATATGGTAAAAAAATTACTGCCATCCCCCTGTCCCCTAGACAGGGTGACTGATTGAATGGCTCTTGGTTATTCACTTCAGAGTCAGAACATATTCTTCCCAACTTAGGAAAACTCCAGGAACATAGAGAAAGTAAGAAAGATCCAGAGAATCTTTGCTTTAAATCCTGCATAAATGATGACTATGTTGAAATAATGCCCCTTCTATCTAGGATAGTCTAAAAAACTATTTATTTTGCAGATGAAAGAGTTTCTTTATCAGTTTTCTTTTATTGGCCTTACTAGATGATAAGAGGCTTGAGGGAATAACTGGTGTGTTTGTTTGTTGGTTGCCTCCTCTCATCTGTCTCCCAGCCCCTTTCTTAACTTGACTCTGAATTTGCTAGCGTGTGGTTGAGTCCAGATCGTGAGGTTCAGGAGTAGGCACATAGCACAAGCCAGGCCGGGAGACTCAATACTGTGATTTGGGATTGAGGTATCTGGGAAGTAGACATTCACATTTTCCACTGGAAATGATCAAGGAGATATTTAACATTAAGAGCTTCTAGACAATATTTTGTTCAAAAGCGATACCCAGCCTGAGAATGGAGCCACCACCAAGAAATGCAAGCCTATAAATGGGGAGAGAGAAACCAGATTTGTGATGTCATTGAGCTAACTGATCAAACCAAAGCTTGTACTTGTTTCCATAAGATAGGCCAGAGAATTCACTTTATTTTTAAAGACATTTTGACATGGCTGGAGTGTTAATTGCAACAGAAAGGATGGAAATTGATATATGGATATATTTTTTATTAGACAGTGCCTTACACACAGTAAGTTAAATAATGGAAAGTTCCTGAAGCATATTCTCTCAAACTTTAATATCGAATATTTTGAAAGTATGCCTTTCTTGTTTTATCATTGCTATTTTGGGATATCTGAGGTATTATTTTATCTAAGATCAATGAAAGTACTGAAAACCCTTCCAAACTGTTTGTTGAATAGATTTACACTTAACCTACGAACTACTTATTTCCTTGGAGATCTAGAAAGCAGATTATTTTCTTAAATGTTTCATTTGCAATCTGCGAGGTTTCCTGTCAGACTAACCTTTGCATTTACTCAACAAGTGAAATGAATTCCCTTTTACATATGTCTTGAACTGTTGTTTGTTTTGAGAAGAACTTCAACTACCATCATAGTCATTTCTCAGAATATTTTTAAAACTAGATGTATTCATTTAGGCATATTCATGCTACTATCTTCATGCCAATTTTTAAATCCTGCCAGGAAGTCCCAGACTTCCTCCTCCTCCTGCTGTGTCACAGGCTGGGCATGCGACAGAGTGCCCAGCCTGCAGCACAATGGCAGTGTCATTCCGACCAAAGTGTACCCCCAGCTGCTTAGGGACCTTTGGATTGACTACCAACTAATGAATCAATTAAATCATGCTATTATTTACGACTCTAGAGAGAAGTTATACTCCCCCCCAAAAGCTAATATTTTTTAACTTTAGCCCACCCTAAAACTTTGTGTTAAATAATTCTTTTTACTTTGAGTTGGCAAAAGGACTGAAGGAATACTGACAATTGTTGAATGCTTGCTCAGTGTCAGACGCTATCATGTACACTGTTACATTTCAGTCTTACAAAAACCATGTGAATTACAGATCATCTTTATTTTACAGATTAGGAGATAGACTTAGCTTAAGTAATATGTCATAGCTAATAAAGATAGGAATAATACTAAACTGATGATGATGATAATAATAATATAAGGACTGGATTATAATAATAATATAAGGACTGGATTCCTTTGCCACCGACTAGCCCCAGCTCACAGTTTAGTTTACCACTTTGCCTCTCTGGGCAATGGTTGTTTCTCATAATTTTATAAGGCTGATTCTAAGTGGGTTTTTTAGCTGTAACAGATTGTTTGTAAAAGTAAAACCTAAAAGCCCATGTATATCAGATAGTACTCCTTTAAATCATAAGTAATTTGCCATGTGTCAATGTTGTAAAAAAAAAAATTCATTGATACATAAATCTTTAAAACTATGAGAAGCATTGGGAATTGCTTGATCTAGCCTCTCATTTTCTCAGATGAAGCAGCAGAACATCTAGACCCACAGTCACAGAATCACATATCTGAAACCACTGGGACTGGGAGCATGTTGTCCTGGCTTGATATTTCATACACGTATTTGACTCCAAAAATAAATTAATGTTACAATAAAATGAATTACAAGGGATTAGAGAAGGAAGAAGGGACTTATTGGGAGAAAGCCATAATAGTTAAATCTAAGTAAAAATTAAGTTACTCAGCTGATAATTTAATATGTTCATGGCTTAAGAAGAAATAAATTTTTTATTAATAAGGAGAAAAAATAGATTCAACATAGTGTTTGGTATTTATCATTTGCTACTCCTACATTCATTATTAAGAACTGCAATATGATATAGGCACTTCCTTCTGTTTTTAAAAAAATTGGGGAGAAAAGTAAAAAAAAAATAATAATAAAATAAAACTCTAGGGGCAAAGTGGAGATAGAGTGCCAGCAGAAAAAAAGAAGAGACAAAATGGATTATTAAAAATGGTAAATGAAGTAAAAGAACAAACTCAAGAGTAAATTATGATTGCTTCTATATATTATAACATTTTCTTAAACATTTGGTTGGCATTTTTTATGGACTAAACAAGAGGACATAGCCGGAAATCACTCCACATGTGAACATGACCCTCAGCTTCATCAGCAGTGCCATGGCCTGTAGCCACGCCCGGTGCACATCATGCAGCCCAGAAGCCATGGCTCACACACACAGCATGGGAACGGCAAGCCACAGAGCGGGTCATGCGTGACCTATCAGCTGTGCCTGGCTTCCCTGTCCAATGAAGCTACTGGCTAGCTGATCAGTATCACCAATGTTGTGTCCTATAGCAGTGAATGCGTACTTTCTTATTTTCCAAGATGTGATTTTGAGATACATTGTACTTTTCTTACAAAAATGTAAAAAAGATGGCCCTGGGAAAGGAATTTCCCTAAAGGTCCAAGCAAGAGTCCCACATGTCCTGAAGCTTGTTACCTGCTATGTTGACATACACAAAGTTCCAGATCTAGACAAATGGCGAGTAAGATTTATTCTGAGAGTACTGCGTCACATTAAACAAAGGGCACAAAATACTTTCTTGAAAGGTCACCCATTAAATATCTGACTGTCACACTGTGAGCCCTCACTCACTGGCGACCGGCACAGCCACTACACCTAAGTCAATAGAGAGGGAGGAGACCACCTGAAACGCTTGAGAGAAAGGGAGAGACTTGCAGTTCTGGCCTCAGCGCTGACCCCGGCGTGGCGTGTGGTCCTGAGAAAGCCATCTGACCTCTGGATGTCTCAGATTCCCTCAGAGAGTCAGATTTCAGGGGGTAAAGTGAGGATAGGGTTTTGGGATTATCTCTCTTAAGACCCAGGAATGCTATAAGAATGAATGAATATTTTCTAAATGCAGAATAAAATTAAGTTTTCGATGGGAAAGTATTTTGCCTAAGAGCTCTGTGTGGGTGGTGGGTAAGGGAGTAGAGGTGATTTTTAGATTTTGATGTCAAATTACTTTTAGCTTTTTCTTTCACAGAGGACAATGTAATATGTTTGTGGGTTAAGAAGAAACCCAATTTTTTTTAGTAAGGAGAAAAAGATGGATTCAACACAGTTTTCAGTATACAAACATTTGTACTTTCATACCCATTATGTGAACTGCAACAGGACACGGGTACATTGCTCTCTTATGTGGCAGATAGAAATGCACCAGCAAACAGAGTATGTCTCTACATGCAAAAAAGTCAGTTGGTATAAGACGAGTGAGACACATTTCTGGTATCTAAACAGCTTGAAGGTATTTTCAGCACTTCTGGGCTCAATTGTTAAAAATGATTCTGTATCTCTAATTATTACATAGAAATACAGATATTCTAACATATACAAACACCCTTGGACACTTTCATCTTTAGAGTCCTGTGCTGTGTCCTAGGAATAGTTTCAAAATATAGCTAACATTAAAAATAATTACTATTTATTGAGTAGCTAATATATATTCAGTCATTTAATATTTGAACTAATTCATTTAATTGCTTTACAAGAGGGAGAGGAAGAGAATGCACACCACAAGGCTAGTTGAGAAGCTACTTTATAAGCCCAGGCCAGAGACTGTGAGGTAGAGGTCGTTGCAGTATCAGTTTTAGAAGTGAAGAGCCTGAGGCACAGATGGGTCAGGTCACTCGACAGACGCGAGTGCAGGCGAGGACGGCCTCAGGGCAGGCCTGTGGACTACACGCGAGACGGTCCCTCGTGGCTCCACCGTACGAGCAAAGGGCAGTGTTGAATCTCAGCAGACAAAACAAAGTTGGAGAGTCAGGGCTTTAAGAAATACATGACACAAAACGAATTTAGAACCCACTCTTGGAGCTAATCACCGGGCAGTCCACGTCAGGACACACCCATGGCGCCGTAGCATTCGCTCCAGCTGTGGCAATGCTGGGGAAGGAGAACTAGAAAGCCAGGCCCCGCCGCGTGGCTAGGCTGCGGCTGCGAGTGTCTGCCTCTCCCGGTTCGTGAGGTCTGCCCGACTGCAGGACTTACATTCAAATGAAACATTCATTGAAGGCCTTTTGTCTGCCGAGAACTGTGCTGTGTCCTGGGACACTAGCACGGCTGATACACAGCTCGGGTCTTCAGGGAGTGCCCAGCCTGGAAACGTAGCCTGTGCGCACAAAGGCTCGGACGCGGGGAGGCGCTCTAGGGGAGGCGCGCACAGAGGGCGCAGGCGCAGGTAGGCGGCCTGCGAGAGTCAGAAGACGCGGCAGTGCTGGTGAGGGGGGATGGGGGGCGCAGGCGCAGGTAGGCGGCCTGCGAGAGTCAGAAGACGCGCCAGTGCTGGTGAGGGGGGATGCGGCCAGAAGGAAGAGCCCAGGATGAGTGTGGATGTGATGAATTGTGTGGTCGATCCTGGATGTGGTGAGTGGCCAGGTATGATGATAAATCTAGAAGCAAAGGGGAGAATCATAGATGAAGTTAGGTGGGGGCTAGAATATGAAGAATCTTGAATGTCACACAAAGACCTCATATCTCTATACTGTAGATAATATAGAGCCATTAAAAGTTTTGTTTTTAACAAAAGATTAAATGGCATAATCGGATATAAATTTTACCAGATTAATTTTAGAACAGGATGGGAGATAGTGAAAGCAGGGCATCCAAGTAGGATGCAAATAAGAAAAACTGGAGAAAACAAGAGCAGAGGAATATATTGGAGGTGGAATTTACAGGATTCTACCTGTAACAATTATATGTTTGGCAGGAAGGACTAGTCATTATATGTGCGGCAAGAAGGACTGAGAGCAAGGGGAGTCCAAGTTGCTGACTAGCTTCTTGCTTGTGCAGGTGGGTTGATCCCTACGATAAGTGAGAGCAAGTATACAAATGGAGAAGCCCATTGGAGTACAGGACACAGTGCACAGACTGGGCATGTTGATTTGAGGACTCTGTGAAATATATGAGCAGAGGTGAGATGTTCAGTAGACAGCAGCAAACCTGGGGAAGGTTAGGAGGGGACGATTCGGCCTTTGATATAGAGTTGGGAGGGGTCGTTCATGTACAAGTAATAAATGAAGCACGGGAATAGGTGAATTCTCTTAATAAAAAACATGTAAAATAGAAGCAAAGTAGGTAAAAAGAATAGAACATGTCCATTGAAAGCTGTGGTTCTCAAAGTGTGGGCCTCAGACTAGCAGTGTCAGAATTAGCATGTGTTAGAATTGCAAATTCTCAGGCCCTATCCCAGACTTAATGAATCATAGACTTTGGGTTAAAATCCAGAAATCTATGTTCCAGGTACTTCTGATGCACTCTGAAGTAACTTACTATATTGGAAGAAAAATAGGAGCCATCAGACAGTCAGAGAAACACAAGTGAGTCCAAGAGAGTGTCATGTTGCAGAAGTTTCCATAAAGATAATCTTAGGCATGGTCAGGGCAGACACTGCAGAAATTTCAAGTATGAAGGGGGCTGAGTAGAGGTCACTGAATATACACATTAGAAGCTTTGCAAGAGTAATTTTATACTAAAAACTCAGAAGTAGATTATAGCCAGTGATGGTATAGATTTAAAGTCAAGATAACAGAATAGGAATGTAGGCTACTTACTCAAGAAGTTTGTGAAAGAAGTAAGATGTTGATGTATTACGAACACGTTAAGAATATGGCTCACAAAAAAAGATTTTTTAAAGTGAACACTTTTAGTATGATTTTTTGTTAAGGAAAAGTAAGACATTAGTAAGATACCAGAGCAAAGTTCTGAAGGAATACTTGGATGGAATGGGATAGGATGAAGATCACATTCTGAGATGTTAGAAAAATGGTAGAGGCAGTCCTGCCATGGAAAAAAGGAGGTAAGACCTAGAAAACATTAAGTTAATTTTGTAGTAGGAAAAGAGGGAACTTGAGAGAGCTCATGCCAGCAAAACTGTTCCCAGTGAAGCAGTCAGCAAGTGTACTTTTTTGAGTGAGAGCTGGCAAGACCAGGAAAACTTGAGAGTGGTCATGGTTTGGAAAAGCTCTGTGGGAATGGGGAGACTGCAGGAAGCCCAGTGCCCCGTCAACCCAAAAGAGCCTCAGTTTCCCCTTCTGGCTTAGTTCTTAGGTTTTTGTACATTTTTCAAGATGCAATGTCAGCACGTTCTTAATGCCCCACCTTGTGGTCTGGCAGAGAGTAAGATCTTCCTTTTCCTTGAGAGACTCATCCAACCCTGGTACAGTTTTGGTATCAAACTCAGGTCAGCTGAATAGAAAACAGAGGTGCTCTTTACTCATTTGGGTCAATTCACCCTAGACAACCCAGTTGAAAAGAAACTGAAGAGAATTGCTTATGGGCTTAAAAATAGAAGCTTAATTTTGAGGCTCCAAACATCCATGAGTGATGATAATGATGCACGAGTGTTAGGATCTGTATTTAACCTGCAGATCAGTTTGCTGGTGTTTGCATGGGGCCTGATGTGAATTAGGTAAATGCATTTTCCAGATCTTCCCATTACTCTCAAGCATATAATAGAATTTCAATTCATATAGTCTAGACTTGTTATCTCATACTGCTATTAAGCCATCCAACCCACAGAATTTCCCAAGCCACCGATTTCCCTTTTGGCCATTTTCACTTACCAGTTCTGTCCCAACAAAGCACACATTACTCATAGATTTGAGACGTAAGAGTTGAGAGTGAAGTTAATATTGTTGGATGACTATGCAAATATGAAAAAGAATCCTATTCTACTTATTCATTTCTTATAAGCAATCCAGGCTACCATTTGTTGATGCTCCAAATAGCTGAAGTCTTTGACTAGAGATAGCCTAAAGTTTGGAAACTTGCTCTTTCAGATCTATTTCAGACATAGAACTCTGCATGACCAAATCATTCCATTAGAAAATGAAACTTCTCAGAAAGGATAAGCTGCATCGTAACTCCTTACTTCCAGTCATCAACATGTCACCCCCAGCTTTGGAATTCATGAATAGAATCCAGGAAGAAGAAATATCAGATGGTTAAATTTGCCTATAGGTTAACCTCCTAAAGCCTAATCAAAACCTAAGATGGTCATGGGCATGAGTAAAAATTGGAAACCCACGGGAGTAGACAGGATATGTGGTTTGACTTTGTATCATTGAATTAAGGACTTTGCAAGAATGAATCATTGTCCCAGTTGACATACCTTTTTAAAGGCAATGTAAAATGAGGCATTCACTATCTGCATATGAGCTTCTAGTAAGAGTAAAAACAAGTCAAAGATTCTGCATTTAAGTTATTATTTTCAATTTTATGTTATAAGCTTTTTTCTTAATTCTGAATAATTTTCTATTTCAATTTTTAAATTTATTCTTGTTTCTACACTTTTGTGTAGAAATGGGGAATGGTGAAAATCTCTTTTCACTGGAGAATTACTATCTTCAAATTGTAAAACCTCTCAAACTATTACCAGTATTATAAAAATTCTCAAATGCCAACATTTACTTTATTCTCAGTCTTCTGCATGTAAATCCAATATATTTGACTGTATACAGAATGTTTCCCTCAAAATATTTTTATAATAATTTCTTTGGAATGGAAAGGTAGCTATAAAGTTCAACTCAAGTAATAACATTTTCAAAATGAAAAGTACCACCCAGTCTATCATTTTATAAAAATTTTATAAAAAAACACATAATATGTAATAGTCTTCTTACATCAAATTCAAACTACACAACAATACAGAAAGTTAATAGTGAAAGTTTTCCTTCACCTTTCCTCAAGCATACTTCCTGTCCAGAAATAATTATTGCATCAATGTATTTCCTTCTAGAACTTTCTTTATGCATTAGGTTTCTTTTGGTTTGACAGTACTATTCTACAGAGTTGTATTTACCTCTCTCTGTGACCAGAATATAGACACATATAAGGAAATGGATTTTTTCAGTGAAAAATTTGAAGATCAGAATGAGTTTCTGAACCACAATAAATAATTTGAAGCCACACATTTTATTACATAGCCTTATCGGTACCACTTTGACGCTACAGATATTTTGTACATTTGTGTCACTTATCACAAATGCCATATAAATGAGCAAACATATCCAATGTGTTCTTGGGATTTACATTCTATATGAACACTTAATATATAGTGTCTCCAAAATTCTAAGTTGAACAGTTGTTGAATGTTAATAACATTAAATGTTTAACGATAATTTTCTAAGGCTTTTAAAAACTATAGTCAGGAAATTGACAATTCAAAATTTCCAGGTGATGATAGAATTAAAATTTGTGAAACACTGCCCTCTAATGGATAAATAAGTATTTGGTATGTTCTAAGAAAAGGAAAAAATGGTGCTTGAAAGACACAAAAATCAAATTGCTTTCCTAATGCTACTGTCAAACACAGTGGCATTTATGTTAGCATCAGCTTTCAGTGAGGCAGAGTGATGTTTCTGAAGCCTCTATCATAACCTAAACTTTCAGATTTAAGATGCTGCAGGGTCGATTTGTGCACAGCAAAAACCTCTCAAGGATGAATCTTATATGTGGTTTCATGGGAATCATATTGTAAAACTTAGTAAAGATATCAGGCAACCTATATAATTATAGACAGCCATGCAGAGATGGCGTCATTTCAAACACTTCTGACTCTTTCTCACAGCTGACAGTAAAAATGGAAATAACCCGATTACTGACTGACATATAACAAACATTTCTGCTAAAGAAATACTTCATTAGAGTTCTCTGCACCTAAAATACACTTAGTGATCATCCTAATTGAGTCTTTTTTCATATTGACACAATTCCACTTTGTTCGTATTTTCCTTGCTCTTCGTTGCTCTGAGGAATATTGCTGCTGCTTGTTGTGCCCACCATACATACATAGCGTTTCACACAAATACTGCCAGTAGAAGGAAGAAAAGAATGTACATACAAATAAAGGTAAAGAATTGGAATGGCAGAGTGAGGCAACCATTTGGACATCAACATTTCACACATTATGTGATACCCAACCCCTCAAATGGCCCCTAGCTAAAGAAGAGACTTTCTATTCCTATCCTTATCCTTAACTTGCAGCTGAACCCATTTGTTCCTTGGCAAATGAAGTGAGAAAAATTCAATACGCCTTTGTGATGTTCTATTTAGAAAGTCACTGCACCTTCCTTCTTTTATCCTTTACCTTTACAAGTGGCACAATGATATTCACCCTCAGCTGTCCCCTCAAATAGGGTGGCAATGTCAGGTCCAGCCTCTTGGCGGACTGTTGTCCTGGTTTTTTGGCTCCTTGCTTGGAAAATTCACACGCAGGGCTGGTGTGACGGAGTGACCACAGACCGGAAGGAGTTCCACACAAACAGCTTTTATTGCAGAAAAGAGGGGAGCTATACAAAGCCAGAGTATGTTCCAGGGAAGAACGGTCTGCCTCCACGAGTGGAGAAGGACTTCGAGTATTCCGAGGTGGTTTCCTTTTGTTGGCCTGGTCCAGGGGAGGGTGTTACCAGATGATTGATACACGTGATCGACAGGTGTTCTTTTAACACAGGTGCAGCTCCACAGGTGTGTGTGCCTCTAACCTCAAGTTCCTGCTCTTTGAGGCTGTCAGCTGCATTTTCCTGCAGAACGCCCCACTCCACGCCTAGGAACCCCCGCCCTCCTGGTCTGTACCTGCCACCTGAAGATTTGGTCCCTGCCTAACAGCAAAAAGAAAGGTTCTACTGCTTTGACCACTAAACTATGGTCATGATCTCCTTGCGGGCAGGGACAGAGCGTCCCATCACTCTACCCCTGTCTTAGTTCAGTGTTTAGTGTGTGAGAAGCAATGTAAACGTTGAGTGAGTGAATGGAAATCTGCCGTGACATCTGTATCTGCTGGCTAGGGCTGCCTTAATAAACTACAGAAAACCAGGTGACTTCAACGACAGCACTTACTGTCTCACAGTTCTGGAGGCTAGAAGTCCGAAGACGTCAGTGGGCTTGGTTCCTCGTGGGTCTGTGACGAAGGATCTGTTCCAGGTTTCTCTTGTTGACTTGTAATGGCCATCTTCTCCTTATTACTCACATCACCTCCCTGCTGTACGTGTCTGTTTCTGTGTCTAAACGTCCCCTTTTATAAGGACGCCAGTCATAATGGACTAGAAGCCCATCCTACCCCAGTGTGACCTCATTTTAACTTAACCAATTACATCTTCAATGACCCTACTTCCAAATACGATCACATTCTGAGGTACGGGAGTCGGGGTGGGGGTTACGACATAAACATGTACATTTTTAGGGGACATAATTATAATAACTCATAACAGTGTCCTTTTTGAGGATAAACTAATTATCAGCAAGAAACCTAGGCTCTGAATAGGATCTGGTCTGAAATATAATGCTGTATATTTTTTGTAAGGTCTGAACTCCCCAAAGAAAGACATTTGACCCTATAAATATATGTTCATGTGTGCTTTCCCTTTCCTTCTCTCTCATTCTTATCACTATTTCTTTCTCTCTACTCTGTTCCCTTTTAATAGACTACGCCAGCAAATACAGGGATGTATGTATACAGGCCAGAACAACACTCTGGTTTTCACAGCATTGTTTTCGTCTGGCCCAATAAAATTTATTTTTTCTGCTCTGGTGTGGGCCACATACAAGGTCCTACAACAATACCAAACAGAAGCTAGGTAGAGGAACATATACATGTTTTTTTTTAATAAAAACTACACCAAATGAATAAATCATTTGAAAGTTCTCATCTGCCTCACCCCCAATCAATCAAACTCTAAGGTGATAGTCTCTAAAAGCTGAAGTAAAAGAAAAGAATGCAACATTTCTTTTGCTTTGAATCACATCTACCTCTTTGTTCAGGATGTAGACTGTGACCTTGAGCCATCTATTAAGTGTTTTTTGTTCCTGACTTTGATTATACATTTCAGATGTGAAATTGTTCACAGATGGCTCAGTGATGGTCTTTTGTTACCTACCTTGGAAAAAGTTATTTTGCATCTGTGCATGAATATCTAATAAGGAAAGAATACCTTTATATCAGGAAAGAACAATCATTAGTGCCCCATAAATCTACTGAGGTTGTACGTATAGCAAGCCTGGTGGTCCAAAATATTTGCTCAATGAGACCATAATATTTTGATTTCTTTTGCAGCCTGTTTTATACAACATCAAAGTCAAGATTATGAACATTTTCAAACTTTTTACAAGATAGATTAATAAATCAACAATCAGCTTCTTAAGTATGGAGGTCAATAGAGATGTGCATGGGTTCCTATTAATCAGAATACCAAATATATAAACTATGCAATCAAACACTTGAGGTAAAATTATCAAGTCTTCCGTCTGAACCTTTAATTTTTTGTGCATATGCATGTCCAAATTAGGAAATATTTCCTCTTTCTCTTTAGGTGTTCAGCATTCTTCTCTATTCATCAAATCTTACACTTAAAATGATCTAAACACTCATTTATATACATTTTTTGATAATAGTTTAAAGTGTTACACTTTCCAAGGAGAATTATAATTATTATTATTAATAGATATTGAATCTTCAACATAAGGCAACTAAAACTCCACAGTGGGATTTCAGGCATCTATAATACATTTGAGGGAACAATTTAAGGAGAGCAGAGATCATTTTCTGCGTCATCGAAGATATCCCATGTAAGCAAAACCCGTCTCTACCACCTAAGGCAGGCTTTTCAACTGAAAATTTGTGAACTACTAGGTTTTCATGAAACCGATTTAGTGGGCTGCAGCCACTATCTTTTAAATGAACTACATACAACAAAGCAGAGTTGAAGAGAATAGACCAGGAAGCTTCAGATCCTGTGTATATATATGTACATATCACTGAATCAAAAGCCCAACTTAAAATGCTCTTATTAAGTATTGAGTCTGTATATAAAGTGTAAATTTTACCAGATGTCATGGTGAAAACATCTGAAAGGCATTGATGTAGGTGGAGACGCAGCTCTGTTCAGAGAGCAGCGCTGCAGACATGCATAAGAACTGCCTGAGGACTCCAGCTAAGGGCTGCAAACTTGTATGTTTAGAAGGTTAACTCTCCTGTCAATTTCAAAAGAAAATTTTTCATATTTCTAATTTCATTCAATAAATATTTACTGGATGCTCACTTGGCCCATTCAGTGTTCCACATAAAAGATACAATTCAAGTATGACAGGGACTCTGTTCTTAAGAAATTCACATTTTTCAGGGGAGACAGACCACGGGAACACACGTACAACACAGTGTGCCGATCACAGAGGTCTCTAGGTGGCAGTGGAAGAGCTTCTAACCCAGACCAGGGAGGCTTCTCGTAGGAAGTGACCCAGACTTCAGTCTTTATGGAAAAGTAAAGTTAACTAACTCTATCAGTTAGGGTCCAGTCAGGGAAATTGAACCCAATTTCTGTGTAATTCAAGGTGAGGAATTTAAGACAGAAGTAGCTGCAAAAGTGCTGGAAGAGTTGATAGAACAAAGAGCAAAAGGTGAAGGAATTCAGAGATTCATGCCTCCAGGAAACTGCTCAGGCTTCCCTAGGGTTGGAGAGATTAAAAAAAAAAAAGAGTTGGTTTGTACCTGGAAGGAGAGGCAGTTGGTGCTTCGAGGTGGGGCAGCCACCAGAGAGAACAGCACATGCACCACCGCCAGGGAGGCAGCCTGCAGCAGAGGTGGGGAGTTCTCTGATCTCGGCCTTCCTCCTGCATGCCAGTTCTCACCCCGCCTCCCACTGCCCAGCCAGGGAGTCAGCTCCCTGTGACCCTGAACAGAGTTGGGCAAAGGCGGGAAATGAATGGAAGAGATAATGGGCAAATAACAGGCAGAAGACCATGCAGGGATATTGAGGGGCAAGAGAAATAGACAAGTCTGAAGGAGCCGTAAACTGGATCACAGGCAGACAATTGAAACTGGTGAAAGAGATTAGGCTCTTGTATAGAGCCTAGCTTTGGCCTAGATCAGAGATGGACCTGTGAGTACTGTAAGAAGTTTGAATTTTTTTTTGTCTGTCAAGATGATATGAGTCATTGAAGATTCTGGTGTGACCGTGTGCCTGTCTGTATTTATGCAGATGTTTTTGTTAAAATCAAAGTAAAACAGGTAAATCGTATTAAAAACAAGTCTAAAAGGCTGAAAATCGATGAAAACCAGCCTTCTGCCCACCACTCTTTCTCACTCCGTTTCTGCTTCTCAAAAGAATCACTTTTAGCCACTTCTATTTTAGTTCTTCTGGTAGTTTCATTAGCAAATTGAAATGTGATGCTATTCCATTTTCTTGATCTCACAAATTTAGACATGATGACTCCTCTGCTGTAGAAGGCAAGAACTTAGTTCACTCGTGTTAAACTCCCATTTCTCTATTTTGTTTCAATTTTTTTTATAAAGAAAAGGAATTTATATTTTTTTCTTATTTTGGCACCAGGACTCCACGGGAGGAGGCTACGAGGAGAACTGGAGGCTGAGACCACGGAGCAGCCGAGACCAGCGCAAGGTAGGTGATTTGCTGTTTCCGCTCCCCTGCATTTGGGACTGCTGGTGGCTCCCAGCGGTGGAGAGACCTGCGGACACCAGCCCAGAGACTGCCGCCGCTGCCAGCGTGGAGCCTGTAGCAGACGTGGCACCAGGTTCCAACTTCCTCTGGGCACCTCCATGTGCACAGACCGCGAGCGCGTGACAGGCGCCATATCGCCTCCTCCTCCCCTCGCCAACCCTACCCGGGCTGCCCAGAGAGACAATACAGCCACCAGCCAGAGGCACCTCCAGGGAACGAGACCTTCCGTTTGGGACCTACACCTGACTCAGGGACTCAGACTGTGAGCTCCTACCCGCCCGCCCTCAAGGTGCTGCTGGCACGGTGTTCCCAGGAGAAAGGTGCCGACTCAGAGGCTGAGAGACATAGACCCGCTTGGGCTCCTGTGGGTGAATTGGGACTGGAAATCCTCCTCCTGGTGGGGATACAGTTTGACTCTGGGACCAAGATGTCGGACCTGCAGACCAGATCCCTGCACTGAGGCTCACATTGCCCGGACACAGAAAGGTTATATGTGAACAGCCTACTGAGGTGTGTGTGCCTCCAGGGACGGATCAGCGTCCTAGAGGGCAACCCTCCTCCCAGGAGGAGGCCCTGCGCCCAACCCAAGTGGCGTTCCTGTGTAGGGAACCTCCCTGCCAACATCACAGTCCCAGGAGGCCTGGTGGCTTGTAGTGTGGCCTGCTGGCAGAGGGCCAGGAGTAGCTGCGGAGTTGGGAGGGTGGAAAGAAGCGAGGCCTGCTGCAGACTGGGGTCTCAGACAGCCCCACCCCACACCCAGACTTTCTGGCTGAGCGGGACCATTCCAGCCCTGCCCTGACAGCTTTCCCTGGAAGCAGAGAACAGAACTTTGACCCCTGCTAACAGCCTGAGGGCAGGCTTACCCAACCCAGCTCCGCCCAGAACAAGAGTTGATAACAGGACACAAAATCAACAGCATAGCCTGTTCCTCCAAGCAAACACCACCTACTGACAGGGACGGCATCTTGCACAGCCTTTCCACGGCACCCAATGACTCAATATACAGGGAGTGGTCCAATTTCACACACAGACACCACTAACGCCTCAAAAACTAAACAAGGTGTGTGAATACCCAACAATAACTTAAGGAAAGAAACAACAACTGGATCGCATGGGAGAAATCAAGAACTCAGGAAATATGAAGAACAAACGGAAACACACCCCCAAAGAGGGCCAGCCCCTAGAAACGGAACCAACAAATCAGGCCACCAATATGACAGAAGAGGAATTTCGTATGTGATCATAAGAACACTCACCGAGCTGAACAACAACTCAATAACCAAAACAAGAACCACAAAAAGCTCCAGGATATGGAAAAGAATAGACACAATGAAGAAAAGTGTAACCGAACTCCTGGAAATGAAGAATCAATTCAAGGAACTACAAAATACAGTGAAGTCTCAAGAACAGGGTAGATCAAACAGAAGAAAGAATCTCAGAGCTTGAAGATAACCCTCCAATTAAATAAATCAATCACAGAAATAGAGCAGAGAAACAAGAGAAAAGAGCAAAGCCTACAAGAGCTGTGG